TAGGGAAGCTTAGGGAGCCTTTGGGAGTAATAGTGAGTATTAGGGATCTCCCTGAATCAAGGCAAGCAAGGCGAGCAACACTCTCGGAGCCGTCATCCTTTTCCCAAGCGCTGAGCCTGCACACTTGAAAGGGCAGAACCTTCGTTGTTGAGGCAACAGACGCTTTTGTTAGAAGGGGAAGCGGGGCATGTTAGGGTCATAGGGCTCAATTGAATTTACCGGCCCGTGAGTTGAGGGTGTTTGGGGGTTCAGGGTTGCCTGGTCTCGCCTCAACGCCCGAAACCTGAATCCAACACAACTCGCAGCTTGCTTGCAGGAAGGGGGGGGGAGCCCCCCAAGCCCTAAACCCTAAACCCTAACCTTCAAACCTGTGTCCCAAACCCTGGAACCCGCAGAAGCCTGGCGGCGGCGGCACCGGCAGCTCCAGGAAGACGCGGCACCGGCCTATACTTGGAGGTTCAGGGTTTAGGGTTAAGGGTTCAGGGTTTAGGGGTTCATGGTACTTATTAACCCTATGGTAACTGTACTTTGGGATGTCCCCCCTGATACTAACCGTCCTTAATGCGATAATCTTGATTAAGGACTGTTAGTAGAAGGGGGAGCATCCGAAACTGTACTTACACCCCAACTATCACCAAATTAGGGCACTTAAGGGGCTTATGAGTGGGATATAACTACATAAACCCTAAACCCTAAACCCCAAACCCTAAACCCTAAACCCTGAACCCTAAACCCTGAACCCTAAACCCCTGATCATGGGTTAACAAGTACCCTGAACCTCCAAGTAGGTGACGTCCCCCAAGTCCCCTGAACAGCTTGTGAGCCCACCTTGGCAAGAACATATCAAACTGCTTGCAAGGGCTATGCCCTAAACCCTAAACCCTAAACCCTGAACCCTAAGCTCTCTAGGCCTGAGGACCATAACTTGCTTAAACTGCAGGAAAGGAGATTCACAACTCAAAGCACAAAACCCTGAACCCCAAGCACCCGAACCCTAAACCCTAAACCCTAAACCCTGAACCCTAAACCCTGAACCCCAAGCACCCGAAGCCCAAACTGAAACAACCATGCCGAGCGTCGTGTCTGAGCCATCGTCTGCCTGGATAGGCGTTGCCTGGGCTGATCGATTTTTGGAACCAAAGCAGGGGCAAGCAAATATGTATATGTATATATATATATATATACACACATATATATATATATGTGTATACACATATATATATATATGTGTATATATATATATGTATTCAGATAATATGTATTGTATGTATGTGTATGTATAGGTACGAGAGATCGACAATAGCGTTAAACAAGGAAAAAACAACAACATATATATATATATATATATATATATGTATATATATACATATGTATATATATATATAGGTGTATATATCCATATGTAGATTGGCCAACCCCCACCCACGCCCCAAGCGTTGACCTACCATCTGTCATTCTGGAAGCATGCTTGGCACCCTCTGGATGTGCCAAGCACATGAGCGCAGCTCATTTGCAAGCTGCGGGTGCATTGGGAAACGATACTTCGAAGGAATATTGCACGACAAAGGAAGATGAATGGACAAACACAACAAGATGAGAAAACAAAAAAAACAACTAAGGTGCGACTGGTTTCGGAAAGATCTCGAGGCCTAAGGCTCATAGTTTCCGAAATCACCGAATCGTTGGAAACAGTTCGCAAGCCAACATGTTCCATCAGACTCTTCGTGCTCGAACAAAACCCTATACCCCAAAACCCTAGACAAATCTTCCGTTCATTTTGGGACGGACGGGCTTAGGATGCTTAAGGGAACAGGAAAAGAGGCAGGTAAGGAGGGTGCCATACCAATGAACAAACTAATGCGATGATACATATACATATGTACACGCTAAACCTAAGACGAACCTGGGAATAAAAAAGGATACCCTTTTTGCGTTGAAGGGGCCTATATGTTGACTTCACATTAGGAATTCCCGCCGCAATTGTAAAATCCAGCTGCCAGAACACAATAATGTAGCCCGCCACAATTATAAAATCAAGCCCGGAATATTTGTTTTTTACGGGCGTGGTGCTACTACCTAATACTAAAACTAATAGTACGTCCTACCAGGATTTAGGCGAATATAATTGAGGAGGCCCTGGCCGGAGAGATTGATCAATCAAGGGGGGGGGGTTTATTAATGCGAAGTCAACATTAAGGGAGCCGCAGCCCCTCCGCGTCCTAGCACTTACTTCTCACCGATGTATATGCGTGTATGATTTTTTGCATTTACAAATGCAAACGCACACGCAGAGTATACATGCGAATATATATATATATATATATATTATTTACTTATTTATTTATATTTATATATACTATAGGACTGATATTTGACAAAGAGCCAGAACAAACGACCCATATCACTGCAGGCGCCTGAATCAATATCAGCATCATCCCCCAACTTTCAACCTCCCTGTCCTGATATCTACAACTTGCTACCTGGAGTCTCTAATGTAGTTCCTTTTTTGGGTTAGTTATAGGGGTTTCGAGTATACTCCCCCAAAAAAGGTACTACACAGGAGCCCTTAGGTAGCAACCATGAAAAAAGGGGTACCCTGTTTTGAGGTTGGCTTCTTTATTCGGGAACCTAGAACCCAAAAAAGAAGGAACAACAAGGGCACCACCGGGCTACCAAGAGAATAAAAGCCACAAAAACAAACAAAACCTAACTTTGAATGGGCAACTCTAAGTCTGCTGAAATTCGACTTGAAGAGGCCCTAAACCCTAAACCCTACACCCTAAACCCTAAACCCTAAACCCCAAACCCTAAACCCTAAACCCTAAACCCTAAACCCTAAACCCTAAACCCTACCCAGCGGCCGGCGGCGATTGAGACATGCGCGGGGTGCCTTTGGGCGTTGGCCTTGGCATTTCCAGCCTCAGGTTGCCAGGTCTCAAAGTTTAGGGTTCAGGGTTCAGGGTTTAGGGTTTAGGGTTTAGGGTTTAGGGCTAGGTTGTGGAACTTCACGCTTGCGGTGCAGAAATCAGGGTTTGGGAATAGAATCCAAGGTCCCCATAGCGTAACAATAGTAGGACGTAAAAAAGCAGACACGACAACTTTACATCATCAGTTAGGGTTTGGGTTTAGGGTTTAGGATTTAGGTTTAGGGTTTAGGATTTAGGCTTTAGGGTTTAGGGGTTAGGGTTTAAGGCTGAGGCTTTCGGGTTTTTACCGTAGACTAACCTGCTTTGCTCGAAACTCGTGAAATAACATTAGGGTCCAAACCTCAAGAAACAGGGTAACGACAAAGTCAAAAGTCCAAGTTGCCAGAGATCTAGATGGGGCCCATCGTTCGAGGGGCAGGTTCAGTAACAATCCCAAAGAAAGGTCTCGGGTTCAGGGTTGAGGTTGTAAAGGCCGGTGGTCTCTTTGTCTGCTTCCCTTATACCTTAATAGCCCCTAGATGCCCTAATAAGAATCCCCCCTACAAAAAAGAAATCCTACTTAAAGAGACCACCAACCAATGACAACAAAAAAAATATGAGGTTGAGGGGAGATCAGGCTGCAACCCGAAACCCTAAACCCTAAATGAGGGGAGATCAGACTGCAGCCCAAGTGCAGCTTCTTCTCAAGCGCCCTGGCAAGGGCGTTGTCGCCCCGCAGCCGTGCTTGCATCAGCTCATGCCTGACGATGTAAGCCCCAAACCCTTAACTCTAAACCCTAAACCCTAAACCCTAAACCCTAAACCCTAAACCCTAAACCCTAAACCTTCAGGCTCAAGGACCTGGGAGTGGCGCTCGCGGGGGTGTGTGGATGTAAACCCTCTCCAGGGCTTGCCACCATCCATGGTAATTGTGCAAACCAGCGAGGTTCAGGCTGTGAAGAAGAGGCTGAGCTTGGGGTTTAGGGTTTAGGGTTTAGGGTTCAGGGTTTAGGGTCTAGGGTTTAGGGTCTAGGGTCTAGGGTTTAGGGTCTAGGGTCTAGGGTCTAGGGTCTAGGGCTCCCCTTAAAACCTATGAGCCGTCTTTGAAGCTAAAATTTCAACATGCTCCCTTGAGATTTAATTCGTGTAAACAACAAGCCTTAAGCATCACCAGTGCCGATGCAAACTGGCCCTGGCTACTCGTAGGAGGGTCGGAGGTTAACAGGCGGGTTTCAGCTTAGATAAGGGCTCCGGTCAGGCAGGAGCACGTGACCGCCATGTGCGATTGAAGACTCTACGCCCTTAACGCTAAACCCTGCTGTTGGGTGTTGCAGGAAGCCACCAGAACTCTGCCTTGTGCTCAGCACAGACATGAGGTATGGCTTCTAGTATCCTCAAGAGGACGCCTATTGTATACACGCATGCACTCACGAATACTGATGAGGGACCCTAAATTACACTCACCAAGAACAGGAACATACACCCATTTTGCTGTGCGCCAGCAGGTCGGGATCTTCGCCGTAACTTAAAGTCTGACCGACAGACCTCAATGTCTTTGAGGCACTCAGTCCGACTCATTGTTAAAACGAGATGTGGGCGTGCCACAACCGGGGTGTAGTACTTTAATAGACTAGTAGCTATGTTTTTACTATATATATATATATATATGAGACTCTCTAGACTACATATCATATGTAAGAGTAAAGAATATTCTGGTCAAGCCCCAGGCGATATCTAAACTTCGCCCAGCGGGTGTGCATCACCCCAGAAAACTCTGCCCAAGTCAGCCAGGAACTCTGCCCTAGGCGACATTGGGGGGGTTGCCGACAATAGAGGGTACCTTTCTGGGGGGGATCCCTTTAAGGGGATTCTATTCTATTTGGGGGTGTAAAAGGGGTGTGTAGGGTTTAGGGTTTAGGGTTTAGGGTTTAGGGTTTAGGGTTTAGGGTTCAGGGTTCAGGATTTAGGGTTCAGGGTTGAGGGTTTAGGTTTTAGGGTTTAGGGTTTAGGACCCCTATTTTGGGGAAATGCCCAAATTTGGACGTGGACTGAACAGGCTCTCCGTGGGCTGCACCTTGTGGCCACCATCTCTGCTCACCCAGCAACGTAGAAGGAGTAGTCGTGTATACCTTAGTAGGGTCTAGGGTTTAGGGTTTAGGGTTTAGGGTTTAGGGTTAGCCCCGTTAACCATACTGTAATCAGGGCACCCTTTTTCTGGGGGTTGGTAACTATTCCAAGGGAACCCAGAAACAAAATCAAGGGTAAAGGGTACCACTGGGCCACCAAGATACTAATGAGCTCCGGCGTCACATGGATTCGTGCCTTGGCGGATGCCACAGAGTAGATGTCTTTCCAGTCCTCAGATGGTCAGTTCTCTAACATACGGTCCCTTTTGGGGTCCTCACTATAAGGCGGCCCTGCCTAATTTCGAGCACCCAAAAAAGGACCGTGATTTAGAGAACTGAACAAATGTTCAACTGGGCAACTTGGGTAATAACAAGGGGGAACAGATGCACACGTTTAGCGGGAACATAGGGCGAGCCCCCCCCCCCCCCAAACAACGAAATCATGCGCCCCTGAAACATCCCAGAGTCGTATTCGGCGCTCTTTTCGCAAGCGAAGGTGTCGCCGCCCTGTCCAGCGGGTTCCGCGCTCGCACTGTTGACATCCCAGCGCTTTCCCCCTCTGAACTCACTGTCAAAGAGCGCCTCGATGATGGACCGGGCCAAGCCGAGCGCCCCTAACTTTCCATCTACATATGCAGTGAGGGCCTGGTACATTCCCTTGAGCTGCAAAAGGTTAAAATCCTCCAGCTTCCTTTGGTTGTCGTACCGGGAACTCCGCACAGCTCTTGGCAACGCCCTGCTGCCTCCCAGTCGATGGGCTGTGCTGGAGGCTGCATCTTGCACCTGACGTGGGCTCAGGGGCCTGGTCGACTTCAGGTCCGCCTTGCCAGGGGGCGCTGGTGCGCGGATCGACCCAGAAGCCCTGCCATCGGCTCCGACCCCTTCCAAACGACTTGGGCCACTCCTCGGCCTGCTTGCGCCCAGGCTCGTGATTGCTCCAGCAGGCGCTGCTTTGCGCACGGGCCCCAGGGCCTTGCCCGCATGTCGCGTCGCCGCTTGTGAGCGACCTGTGGTAGGCCTGTGTGGGCTCTCCTTGGTGGTAGCTTTGGGTGGCTCGGGCGTCGCCATTGCGAAGCCAATGGCTTGAGCCATGCAGCCCTCTGTGGGTTTAGGGATAAGGCGTTTAAGGGTTAAGGGTTAAGGGTTAAGGGTTAAGGGTTAAGGGTTAAGGGTTAAGGGTTTAGGGTTGGGGCCTTAGGGTTTAGGGGTGACGCAGAGACGTGCAAGACCTTGCAAGGCCCTCCACCCAAACCCAACAAGAACAATAAACAAACACGTAGATAATGTAAGCCAATAGCAAAGATCGCGGTGCTCCAGCACTTCAACCCCCTACCTGCTTCTTAAACCCCGAGTCCTGAACCCTGAACCCCAAACCTTGGGCCTTGGGCCCTGGAAAGTTTGCAGCATGCAGTGCATGCAGCAAAAAAGAACCCCACGCATCCCTACAGATCCTAAACCCTGAATCTCAAACCATGAACTAACCCTAAACCCTAAACCCTAAACCCTAAACCCTAAACCCGGAAGTTCTTCGACTCAGAGTCGTTTCTGGCCCGCACCCTAAACCTACCCCTTTTCGGGTTTCGGGTTTAGGGTTTCGGAGTTTAGGGTTTAGGGTTTAGGGTTTCGGAGTTTAGGGTTTAGGGTTTCGGAGTTTAGGGTTTAGGGTTTAGGGCTTCGGAGTTTAGGGTTTAGGGTTAGTTCATGGTTTGAGGTTTCATTGTTTAGGCGGAATTCGGTACCTTGTTCACCCCTGCAAAAATCCTGAAGGACTGTATAGGATAAACCGGGTTCTGATCAAGCAATAGTACGTCAAAAGGTCACCTATACCCACATATAGTACTTGTGCCGCAATTAGGCATCAAAACCACACTACGACGGGTTTTGGGATGCCTAGGATCAAAAGAAAGCTGAAAGGAAACACTCTGGGTATTCCCGAAACCCTAAAACCCTACCCTGAAACCTGAACCCTCAACCCCAAACCTTACACGCCTCAAACCCTAAACCCAAGACCCTGTCGGCCTCGCTCTTAGATGGGGAAGATCCGGGAAGAAATCCCTCTCGATGAGCGCCTTGGGTGCCGAGCTTCAGCTTCAGGGTTGTCTGCGCTTTAGGGTTTAGGGTTTAGGGTTTAGGGTTTAGGGTGTACTGGCAGCATTCCCCACACTTAGTTGCTGAGTCCATAAGCCGCCGAAAAATGTACACTTTCAGTTCCATAGGGATTTTAGAATCCCAAAAACTCTAAAGTGTAGTTATTCAGCTGCTAAGCACAACGATAGTATAAGTGCACCCTCTGGGAAACCCTGCCGTCATTTAAGTGACAGATGACTCGCGTGGCAGCAGCCTTGGGATGGGTTTGAACTACTGTGCCTTCTTGATAAGATTGCTAACCATATCTTTGCATATATGCATAAGTTCGGTTGTCGCATGCTATACAATATATATATATATATATATATATATGATTCATTCATAATACTCGGCCTGAGCCCATGGCAGATACGGCTTCCACATAATCATCCTCATCCAGCGACCGCGACGGCACCGCATTGGGTGGATACGGATTTCGCACCTGTCTGCAACAAATCCCACACCCTCCCCACTAACAGCAAGCGCCGGTGGAATTGGGGAAGCGAATGCTTCATGTGGTTGTTAGCCCTAAACCCTAAACCCTAAACCCTAAAGAATCAATGTACCACCAGCTTGGGCTTGTGGCTCATCGGTTTTCACCTCAGGGATCACGCCAAGGCTACAAACTCGACAGCACATCGTTTTTCACCCTCAGAATCTGCGGGTGCATGGTCTGCTGTATACCTTAGGCAACTTAATCTAGGAGCTACAGATATACCCTATTTGTGATCGTACCTATATCAACCCACACACCTTCGAGTAGCGATGCGTCGTTGGATGCTCACCCGTGCAGGGCGCTTTTGCGCTGCAGCTTGGAGAGTTCAGGCCCCTGGGGACCAAATGAACACTAACAATGGGCTACCCTGTACTACTATGCTTTTGATTAAGGTATGTGAACCATAAACCCTTTTGGTCCCCAAGGGTATGGCGCTTTAAGCGTTGTTCTGATGACAGGGGAGAGGACAAAAGGGGGGATTTCGGCAACACTGGGTTGCTTGCTTCAGGACCCACTATCTGTCATATATCACGATGCAGACGAGGAGTTGCCAGACATCAAGCAAGTGGAAGGGCAGAAGCTCGGCAGCTCTGATGCCTGATCACATCCGCAACTCTGTGGGCACACCTTGGCAAGTGGCCGAAACAGCTGCGGCATTCCAGCACACCAGTTGGCGTCAGTTAAGGGGTCTGTCGGAAAGCGCACAAGGGCTCCGCAGCCATCTTGAAGCATTGCCTGGATAGTTTGGTTGGCCGCAGCCCAGAGTAGCAGCGTTGTCACATCCGTGCTGTAGAAGTATGATACAGCATCGGGATAAGTACGCCAGAAGGACTGCCAAGTGTCGTCATTGGGTACGTCCTGACATGCGCCCTGCGCGCTCAAAGTCGACTCAGCCACCCCGAGGCATGCTGGGGTACATCCCTGAACAGGCACCTTGAACCAGGAGTTGCTGTAAGGGTCCGTGCACCCGCACGTCTCACCACACACCAGTCGCAGCAGGCGACTTTCGACCGCGTCGCACATGCCACGCAACTCCCTGCAGCTTCGCGCGTCGTGGAGCCCCACACTGGCTGCGGAAGTCCTCAAGAGAGCAGAGGTCCAGCGCCTCATGACGGTGTCGTTGTGGTACGGGCCATCCTCATTCAGAATCAAGGGCTCAATGCCTGAGTAGCCCAGTAACCATATTATGATGAGGGCACCCTTTTTTTGGTTGGCTACTTGAAAAAGGGAACCAGAACCAAAAAAAGAACAAGGAAAAGGGTACCACTGGGCTCCCAAGATGCAGAAGGGTATCCTGGCGCCCTCCTCGTCGATACCTCGGGAGGTGTCAGCTTCGAAGCCACTCTTGTCCGTGGACGCAATAATCCTTACTGTTGCTTAGTAGGGAATGGGGGAGTGAGGTATCCTACATAATCCCTTAAAGGGTAGAAATAGGGCCAAGTACCCTACATAATCCCTTAAAGGGTATAAATAGGGAGGTACACTACATAATCCCTTAAAAGGGTATAAATAGGGCCAAGTATCAGGGTCCGCCCTGGCCCAGGTGTGGTCTCTGGTGAGGTGGCTTTGTGCCTCGGATGGCCCTCTAAAGCCCACTGAGAAAGATTCCTAAAGAGAGTCCTACTTAAACCCAATAGGGCAAAATAGAAAAACCCTAAACCCTAAACCCTAAACCCTAAACCCAAGGGCCTACCGAGGTGCGCTTCCACTGCCAGCTCACTGAGAGTCAGGTTCCGCCCAGCGATCTCCCAAGCATTCGGGGTGACCAATGCATGTGTGATCTGGGGGCTTCCAAAATTTAGGGTTTAGGGTTTAGGGTATAGGGTTTAGGGTTTGGGGTTTAGGGTTTAGGGTTTAGGGTTTCGGGGTACCTTGTTGGGTCCCTATTGTAAGGGAATCCTACTATTTGGGGATCGATTATGGGAGTCCCTTATGTTCGTAAAACTCCCACCTGTGTATCAGCGTTAAACCCGATAACGAAGGCTTGGTCGCCACCGCACAGCTCCTGCTTCAGGCTGAGCATATCGTCCGTCAGAGGCCCCAGCAAAAGCAGATAGGTGACCAGCACCAGAGCCAACCTCGGGGGCCAAATTAACCCTAAACTTGGGGTCTTATGCCCTATACTACATACTCTTATACCTTTAAAGGTATACGAACCCTAAACCCTTTAAAGTTTTCCTTTAAAGGTATATGAAGCCTAGACCATCTTAAGGTTCATGTCGTCCCCAAGGAGCAGGGAAGAGAAGTGCACCATGGATTCGCACTCACTCCGGCGGCGGCTGTATTTTGCCTTCATGGGCTCTAGGTTCCTTAGTGGCCCAGTAACCACATTATCATAAGGGCACCCGTTTTTGGGGTGGCTATTTTATAAGGGAACCCATAACCCAGCAAAAAAGGGGGAAAGGGTACCACTGGGCTACAAAGGTGCTGAATGGCCTGCTGAATCTTGATCGGCGTCATGCCCACAAATAGAAACCTTGGGGACGAAATGAACTGTTTAAAGGGTTTAGGGTTTGTTTATTTATACACCTTTAAAGGAACTATAGTAGTTTAGGGTACATCAAAGGATGTATGGTTCATATACCTTAGAAGGAAATTACAATCGTGGACACCAATTTTGGAGTTCATTTGGTCCCCAAGGAGCTCATCCACATCCAAGATAGCGTTGAGGGCCACAGCGTTCCTTCGCTGACTTCTGCACCCCTCCTAAAAGCTTAACTTTGAGGTTTCTTCAACAACCCTAATTAAACCCTAAACCCTAAACCCTAAGAGTTAAAATCCTAAGAGCCTGCCAGAAGGAAGCCGAGATTCAGCATCAGCTCAGAGATGGAGGTTGTCCGGGAGAGCCACAGAATTCCCGCCACCAGCAGCACAGATGCAATTGCCGTCCGGCAGGCATAGGTCAGAAGAAGCCTGTGCTCACCCTAAACCCTAAACCCTAACCCTAAACCCTAAACCCTAAAGCCTAAAGCCTAAAGCCTAAAGCCTAAAGCCTAAAGCCTAAAGCCTAAACCCTAAACCCTAAACCCTAAACCCTAAACCCTAAACCCTAACTCAACTGGAAACAAAACCTCTGCGGTCCAATTCAATCCCCTAAGGGTTCATATACCTATGTAGTACATACTGGGGCCCTAAAGCTACTAGATGGGAACCCCTTCAAGGCCCAATTTTATATGCTATATAGGTACATGGACCCTGAGGGAATGTCATCTGACTCTAGATGCCGAGCCAATGTAAAGGGCAGGGCTTAGGGTTCGAAAACCCTAAGCTAAACGCAGACCGTAAACCCTAGCCTATCCCAAACTCTTCGCCCTCACCCTTACTGTATCCCTGCTTTGGAGTAGACCCTGGAAAAAAGTATGTACTCTTTTGGCATAAGTAGCCATACTAGGAACCCAGAACCCAACAAAAAGTACTAAAGTGCAATACTCCCAAACCCAGAGTAGTTCTATCTTTTCAAAGGGGCAGGCCAAAGCGACCCCATGAGATCGTGGTGAAGGCGTTGTCGCCGAAAGAGGTGCACTGCGCCTCGAGGAACAACGATCTATTCTTGCGCTCATTGTTGGCCCTAAACCCTAAACCCTAAACCCTAAACCCTAAACCCTAAACCCTAAACCCTGAACCCTGAACCCTGAACCCTGAACCCTAAACCCTAAACCCCTAATCCTAATTCCAAATTCCTAAACCCTAAACCCTAAACCCTAGACCCTAAACCCGGACCTGTTGGTATGCTTTTGGTGCTTCTTGCGACTCATGGGTTGGGGGGGCCAGGGCCTGAATTGAGCTCAGTCGAACATGGACGGGTTTAGGGTTTAGGGTTTAGGGTTTCGAGTTTAGGGTTTAGGGTTTTCCACAATTTCCACAATTTACATTTCATTGTTATCATTGAAGACTACCAATAACTTGACAGAGATGCAGGGTATCAAAAATAGCTCAACAACAGATACTTCAGGTGACAAATTCTGTGCATTCTTGGTAGCCCGTGACCATATTGCCATAAGGGTACCCTTTGGGGGGCTGGTTACTTTGCAAGGGGGCCCAGAACAAAACAAAAAAGGGGCAAAACAACCCCAAACCCCAAACCCCGAACCCCAAACGCCAAACCCTAAACCCTCAGGTACCCCCCAAACCCTAAACCCAAAAAACCCCCAAATACCACTGGGCGCCCCAGAGCATGGGGCCTTGGGAATCCCAAACGCCGCTTCGAGCTGCACCCAGATCTGTCGGAACTCCTTCACGGCTGGATGCGGAGACTCAGGGATGCTTGTAGCTTGAAAGGGAAGGGTTGAGTTAGGGTTTAGGGTTTAGGGTTTAGGGTTTAGGGTTTAGGGTTTAGGGTTTAGGGTTTAGGGTTTAGGGTTTAGGGTTTAGGGTTTAGGGTTTAGGGTTTAGGGTTTAGGGTTTGGGGTTTAGGGTTTAGGGTTTAGGGTTTAGGGTTTAGGGTTTAGGGTTTAGGGCATCAAACCCTAAGCCTTGTAAGCCCTGAACCCTGAGCTCCTGAGACCCTTGCCTAGGGCTCCAGAAAGTGTAGGTGATGGAACTCAGATATCTCGCTGGTTCTTAGTAGGGAATCAAGGAATGAGGGCCATACAATTTGCTTTAACGGATATATACATATATATATATATATATAGGACCCTCATTCCCTCATTCCCTGCTAAGAACCAGGGGGAAAAATGGCTTCTCAGGGAACCTAAACTCGAAAAAAAGGGAACTCAGGGCCTACTTCATGGAATGGGCATCTCCGTATCCGAAGTTTGAAGCCTGAGTTGGGGTTTAGGGTTTAGGGTTTAGGGTTTAGGGTTTGGGGTTTGGGGTTTGGGGTTTAGGGTTTAGGGTTTAGGGTTTTGGACTTAGGGTTCAGGCTTAGTCTTATGTTTAGGGTTTAGGCTGTGGGTTTAGGGTTAGTCTTCTAAGGGGCTGCGGGATTCGGGCTTCGGGGTCCATCGGTACTACGCGCAGGAGCCGGTCCTTGTTGACGCACAGCGTCCACAAGACGATGCACAGCATGCATAAGAGAACCTCAGTAGCCCAGCAACCACATGACATAATGAGGGCACCTTTTCTTGTTTTGGTTGCATGGTTGCTTTATAAGGGAACCTTGAACTTAAAAAAAGTGCAAGATAGCCCTAAGCCTAAAGCCTAAAGCCTAAAGCCTAAACCCTAAACCCAGCAGGCTGCCAAGGAACGCCCGGCTGGAAGGCGGGAAGGTCGAACTGCGCCTTGTCCATGCCAAGGAAGCTGTTGACGTGTTCCTTAGTAGCCCGGTGACCAAATTGAAATTAAAGGCACAGGGTTTAGGGTTTAGGGTTCAGGGTTCAGGGTTTAGGATTTAGGGTTTACGGCTGAAACTCCATCGAGAGGCCCTATGCTTCGTCTGCCGTAGTGTACCCCCTTCCATAACATGTTGGATGGTCTATTCCGTATATGGTCAGTTCCTTATACTATGTTCCCTTTTTGGGGATCCCTTTTTTAAAGGCTGCCTGCCGCCTTGCAATGGGTACCCCAAACAGGGACCCTAATTTAGGAAACTACCCATATTGTATGTAAGGCTACCCTTTTTGGTTGCTCACTTTATAAGGGAACCCGAAACCACAACAAAATGGCAAAGGCTACTGCTGGACTGCCAAGGTTCAACCAACGTGGCTTGCACGGTGGAAAGAATCACGCTTCCATCTCCATTGCACACCCGAGTAACCAAGCTTGTGCCAGCCAAGTCCATGTATCTTAGGGTTACATGGTCCCTTAGTATGGTCCCTTAAATGGGACTCCCTATATACCCATTTTTAAAAGTCTAGAGGCTACCATGCCAGCAGTGCGGCAACCTTACTCTTAAGCTTCCCCTCCCGCCTGGAGTCGTGCGCAACACCAGTCCGCCAAGCTTTTGCACCGTCGACCTTGCTCTCAAAGTCTTCACCCATGAAGGCAGGGGTCAGCAGAATGATGGAGAAGGCCGTCTGCATACCGAGGTTGAGAAGAACCAGGGTAGCGGCGAACATTGTCTCAAAGATACTTATGTCAATCCTTAGCTGTCCAGTATCCTCGGGGAACTAAGGTTAACCTTTGGGATAAAACAGGGATGATATGGGCTCAAAAAGGTTAAAAGGTTACCTAGAAACCCTAAACCCTAAACCCTAAACCCTAAACCCTAAACCCTAAACCCTAAACCCTAAATTTAAACCCCAAACCTATAGTCTACTACTAAGAATCAGGCCGGCGAGGAGGGGGATACTCCACGCGCTCTCCTCGAAGGACACTTCGGTAAACTCCTGGACCTTCGGGGTCCTGTGATTTTTTTGGGTGGCCCCAGGCTGAGGGGTTTGTAGGGTTTAGGGTTTAGGGTTTAGGGTTTAGGGTTTAGGGTTTAGGGTTTAGGGGCTTGTAGTTGCAGGGTTTTGGGGGCACAAGGGTTCAGGGGTGTAGAGGTGTTGGCATAAGGGTCAGGGTCTGAGGCTCAGCGTTTAGGGTTAGCTTGAAGCAACACACTGTCAAGGCATGAGAAGCAAAGAAGGAATCAGGATACTCCTCGTGGCCCAGGTGCAAGCTACTGGGTTTAGGGTTTAGGGTTTAGGGTTTAGGGTTTAGGGTTTAGGGTTTAGGGCCTGTGTCAGTGAGAGCGAGGGCTACAGGTCCCCACCGGCAAGTCGACCTGGGAGTAGCCTGGGAATACAAAATGTGCCCTTTTGGGTTTTAAGGGGCCTATCAGGGAACCCCAACCGTAACAAAAAGGGAATGAAGGCCTACTCCCGGCCCTGGCTGCATATTCTCATGGCCATAGATGTCGGACGCCCCACGCCCTAAACCCTAAACCGCAAACCTCTCCTGCTCCGAGTGGACTTGACCCCAGCCTCGCTAAGGTGGATGTCAAGCACCTGCACATGCCAGCTACCCTTAAACCCCATGTAGGGTTTAGGGTTTAGGGTTTAGGGTTTAGGGTTTAGGGTTTAGGGTTTAGGGTTTAGGGTTTAGGGCGTTTAGGGTTTCTAAACTCGAAACCCTACACCCATAAAACCCCAGACCCTAAACCCTTTAAGGGTGTCGGGCATAGTGTGTGCAGGAGACTTCGTAGCCCAGTAACCACATGATAATAAAGGTGTTTTTTCAATGCTTGTGTATTTCTTTTGTATTTCGTATTGTTTATGTATACATTTTGTCTTTGTTTTGGGGGAGGTTGGGAACCTTGAACCCAAAGAAAAAGGGGTAACAGGGCACACCTGGGCTACCAAGTAGTTGGTGCTACCCAAAGACTCTGATCTCCCTAAACTCCTAAACTCCTAAACTCCTAAACCCTAAACCCTAAACCCTAAACCCTAAACCCCTGGCCTCCGCAGGCTGATTCAGGGCGCCGGCATTCGGAGACCCCTGAGCATGGACAGGTCTACCACGCCATGCCACTGCGTTGAACGCCCTAAACACGAAGCCCTAAACACCGAGTAAAGGTAAAGGCAGGCCTTGTAGCGCTAAACCCTAAACCCTAAACCCTAAACCCTAAACCCTAAACCCTAAACCCTATAAACCCTAAACCCTAAACCCACAAAATCGACCACCGTGAGACTTAGATCAAGAGTTCGACCCCAAAGAGTCGTCGCTCAGCCTTCCACCCAAGGGGGGGGGGGGGGGGGGGGTGAAGACTCCTACCCCCTAAGGTTTCCCAGTTTAGGGTTTAGGGGTTAGGGTTTAGGGTTTACCCCTACCCCCTAAGGATGTTCTTTGGGATGTTCCGCCTTATACTAACAGGGTTTAGGGTTTAGGGGGTTTTTTGGTTTTGGGGTTTAGGGTTGAGGCTTCTGGAAACCTTCAGAGCACCTCGTTGAGGGTCGGTAGCTCGGGGGGAAGGATTTCCTGGTCGACCTTGGCGCCGTCACCGGGATGCACCTGGCGGGCTTCGGGTTTCGGGTTTGGGGTTTAGGGTTTGGGGTTTAGGGTTTGGGGTTTAGGGTTTGGGGTTTAGGGTTAAGAATTTAGGGTTTAGGGTTTAGGGTTAGTTCGCCAACCCACTCTATGGGGATTTCCGCAAAGGCGTCCCCAGAACCACGTTCGGGTAGCAGGAGCACAGCAGCCTCCTTGGGAAAGTTTGTACCGGAGCTGCTGGAGGACGAACACATCCCTTCATTTGGACCTGGTTGTCCAGTAATCTGGGGGAATTACAGGTCAACCTTTGGGATTTTAAGGAGATTACAGTATACTACCCCAAAAAAAGTTAAAGGTTACCTACTCTACGACTAGGTGGAGAGCTTGCAGAAGCATTGGCTCCAGGAAGAGCTCCTGGGGAAGTTAGCGGACGAACACATCCCTTCATCTGGAGAGCTTGCAGAAGCAGTTGAAGGAAGAGATCTTGGGGGGTGCCTGGGTTTGGGGTTTAGGGCTTTGGGGTTCGTCGTCTAAGGGTTTAGGGTTTGGGGCTGAGGGATTCAGGCCTTTGGGGTTCTAAGCTATACCCTAAACCCTAAACACTAAACCGCATGTGCCCGTTTTGAGCAAGGACCGTCTGGCGTGCCTATTCTTGAGCTGCCTCAGACCCATGACCTACCTGAGAGCTCCGTAATGAAACCCGAACCTGCAAACTTCCCTAAAACCATACACCAAAGACCCCAAAACCTTGACCTTAAACCCCGTAAACTTGAACCGCCAACTGAGCCCGAACACCCTCCCCCCCCCCCCATTAAGCCCGAACTCCTAAGCCCTCTTATCCCCTTTACAGAATCCCTTTTGTACAAGCCCTTCACCTTGAGGCTTGCGTGTAGCAACCTCGTTGGCAGCATCTACGAAGCAAGCCTCCAATTTCAGGAATCTCCATACTAAACCTAAGGAAACCTAAGGAACCTAGGCATTCAAGAAAGGGTGCCCTTTTTGGCTTCAAGGCGCTTAGAAGGGAACCGCAGCCCTACAGAAAGGGAAATTAGGGTTTAGGGTTTAGGGGTTTCAGCCATGCCTGCGGTTTGAACGCACGACCCCTAATTAACTTAGGGTTTAGGGTTTAGGGCTTAGGGCTTAGGGCTTAGGGCTTAGGGCTTAGGGCTTAGGGCTTAGGGGTAGGGCTTAGGGGTTAGGATTTAGGATTAAACCGCAGGCTTCGTGCCTTGCAAGCGTGAGCGCCGAGAGCCGTCTGTGCCTCCAGGACCTTGGAGGGGGCTTGTATGGCTTGGGTGTGGAACACCCTAAACCTCAGACCCTAAACCCTAGACCCTAAACCCTACACCCTAAGCCCTAAACCCTAATTTTAAATCCTAAACAACAGAATCAAGAGAAAAAGGATACTGATAGAGGAAAAAAATAGAGTGTCAGTGAAGGTTTTAGGAGCCACCGCCCCTCCTCCCCCCCCCCGTCCTCCCACCCGCCCACTAGGCTCGATTTCTGGGCCCCAGTTGGCCCTAAACCCCTAAACCCCTAAAACCCTAAACCCTAAACCCTGCGGCCTCCAAGCGCGCATGGACGTGCTGCAGACCCAGCTGCAGCTGCTGCCGCAATAAAACGAACCTCGGCTTGGTTGCCCCTGGCTTAGGGGGACGTTTTAGGGTTTAGGGTTTAGGGTTCTTGGTTGCCCCAGGCTCTTCGTAGGGAATGAGACTACTGTATGCGGATGTTCAGGGTTTGTTCTCTTGGATTATAGGGGGCCCTATATATATATATATACCCTTTAAGGGATTGTATGCCCTTGAAGGGATTGTAGCCTTTAAGGGCTTCTATACCCTCTAAGGGATTGCATACGCTGCAAGGGACTATGAAGGGTATCTCATTTCCTCATTATCCTAGCCACTGGTGGGTTTGGGGTTTAGGGTGGCTTTAAGTCTCTAGGGTTTAGGGTCTCTTAGCTGCTGAGTTCATGAGCCCAAAAAAGTGTACACTTTCAGTTCTATAGGGGGTTAGAGTATCCCAAAAAAAGAATGTGCTTACTCAGCTTGTAAGGTCTATAGGGTTAGGGTCTATAAGGTTTAGGGTCCATAGGGTTCAGGGTGGTTTAGGGTCTAGGGTTTAGGGTGGTGTTTCGGGTTGTGACCCGCCAACAAAAATCGACCCAAAGCCGGGGAAACACACACCCACACACACGATTCTCCAAGCGCCCGAAAACTGAAGCCTCAAAACCCGAGGCTTCAAAAAACCTGCGTTAACTGAACGCACGAACCTTGAACCCTCAACCCCAAACCCCAAACCCCAAACCCCAAACCCCAAACCCTGAGCCAAAATCGCCTACACCCTTAGACCTCAGCCCTTAAACCCTACGAAGCTCCTCGCTTGGTATGGAAGTTAGGATTTACAGGGTTTTAGGGTTTAGGGATTAGGGTTTCGGGTTTAGGGCTTTTAGGGCATGCTCAGGTTTTTCAGGATCTCACTTCAGGGATTTTAAGGGGCTTCTTAAGGGCTTTAGGTGCTTACTGGAGCTTCCGGGTTCTTCAGGTTTGGGGTTTAGGGTTTGGGGTTTAGGGTTTAGGGGAAGGTGCTACAGAAGGATTCTCGTTGGAAGAGCCAGGGGGGTAGGGGAGGCTTAGGGATTCCCAAACCCTAAACTCAAGGCCTATCGACCTCGATGGCGCAAGCCGACCCAGGTGGGTTTAGGGTTTAGGGTTTAGGGTTTAGGGTTTAGGGTTTAGGGTTTAGGGTTTAGGGTTTAGGGTTTAGGGTTTAGGGTTTAGGGTTTAGGGTTTAGGGTTTAGGTTTAGGGTTTAGGGTGGAGGTCGGTATGGGCCCGGTACCGCTTCTCCTCGGGACCAAGGTCTGGTCCCTTCTTAAAGTCTATCCTAAACCCCAGCATCCCTTCCCGACACATGGTGAACCCTCTTACAACCCCTGAAAGAACGTTTCAAAACGGAAGAAGCTTTTAGAAGCGGACTGTTGCCTTGAGTTTAGGCCTAAACCCTAATAGCTTTGCCGCCTCGGATGGCGTGGGGTGGGAGAAAAGTTAAATGGCCTTCCACAATCGGGCCAAAGCTGCTCTTCGCGCCTCACGAAGCTTTCGGGCTTGTTCCGAAGCCTAACCTTCACAGCATCTACGCCCTATCACAGCAAACCCTAAACCCTAAACCCTAAACGTCTTGGAGTTTAGGGTTGCAGGCTTACGGTCTTAGGGTTTTGGGGAATGCTTTAGGGGTGATGTTTTTTTTTTTTGTGGGTGGGCGGGTCGTGGGTGGCTCACAGTGTTTGTTGCGTGAAGTCCACCACACCACTCATCAGGCACACATGGCAGCGCGGCGGTACCCAGAATACCCGCGAGGCAGGTCACAACTCCTATCTTAGGACAAGCTTCTGCTGCGATTTGAGCCATCGCCCTAAACCCTAAACCCTAAACCCTAAACCCTAAACCCTAAACCCTAAACCCTAAACCCTAAGCCCTAAACCCTAAACCCTAAACCCCAAACCCTCAACCCTAAACCCTAAACCCTAAACCCTACTCCGCAGACTGGCAGCTGCCTCTCCAGCTCTGGAAGGCGCTCCGTCTCCGGAAGATGGCCAAAGGGGTCTTCAACCCACTCGGGCTCCTGCAGCTTGTGGGCCTTTGTTAGGGTGATGGTAGGGTTTAGGGTTTAGGGTTTAGGGTTTAGGGTTTAGGGTTTAGGGTTTAGGGTTTAGGGTTTAGGGTTTAGGGTTTAGGGTTTAGGGTTTAGGGTTTAGGGTTTAGGGTTTAGGGTTTAGGGCTACAAGGCCTTCGGGTTTAGGATTTGGGAGTTCGGGTTTAGGGTTTAAGGTTTAGGGTTTGGGGTTTGGGTTTTGGAGTGTAGGGTGTAGGGTGTAGGGTGTAGGGTGTAGGGTGTAGGGTGTAGGGTTTAGGGTGTAGGGTGTAGGGTGTAGGGTGTAGGGTGTAGGGAGGGTGTAGGGTTGAAATTTAAACGTCTCTAGGGCCCCTTGTAGACCCACACTTAGGAGAACATGACATTTCCCAAAGGCCGAGCTAGAACTGCACAGGGGTTGGGTGGAACGGTGGGTACATTTACCGATGTTGGTTGCGCAAATTCCAAGGGGCCCTTAGCCAGCACCCGTAAACAGAGCCGGGGGCCCGCAAAACACTAAGCACGCACGACTCAGCACAGCCTAGGCCTAGGCGTGCAGGGGGGGGTTGATCAACACTTGTGTTCATGGTTTAGGGTTAGGGTTTAGGGTTTAGGGTTTAGGGCTAATTCTTGAAGTGGCCTGAAGATGGTCCCCCCAAATTTAGTAGGGTCCCAGGTCCCCCTTATAATAAAGAACCCAATAAGGTGCCCCCGAAGTCGGAAACTCCCAAGTGACTTCTCGGCGACTTGGCGTATGAAGCGCTGCTCACCAGCAGGCTGCCACCCCCCTAAACCCTAAATGAAGTGGTCGAGCAGGCGGGGCTGGCGTCCGGGACCGCGGCGAAGGTCTTACTTCCGCCGTCGGACACGTCGGAGCCGTCCTTGAACAAAATGTCTAGATAGATGTTCAAGGACTCGTCCAACTTCCTGCCCGTCATGACCGTTCGTTCTCCCATCTCTGTGACGAAGCGACGTACTCGATTGACATAATCCTGGGCCACTGGCGCTGACCCTGCCACTTGCTCCAAGAAGGTCTGTCCTTGAAAGCGTGGCGCATCTGTTTCCTGGCTCTTTGGTTTCGGCCTGGAGTGTCTAGGGCATGGTGGGCGGGGGAGGCCCCTACAGCAGATCTTTCGCTACCACCTACTTCCGAAGACTGAGGCTAGACCCTAAACCCTAGACCCTAAACTTACCCTAAACCCTAAACCCACATCTGGGAACTTGAATCCCCGAAAGCTCAAAAAATCATGGGGTTTGGGCGTAGGGTTTAGGGTTTAGGGTAAAGGGTTTCATCGTGGGTTTACGGGGTCACCGGGAACTCCCGACTTTCTGCTTCAGGGGCGGAAGCTCAACCGGGCACGAGGCTTACCATTTGGGTGAGCAGCCCACATGGGGGTTTAGGGTTTAGGGTTTAGGGTTTAGGGTTTAGAATTTAAAATTTAAGATTTAGGGTTTACCCTAAAATAGGCCCCCAAGTGGCAGGATCCCCTTATAGTAAGGACCCCATTGAGGGTACCCCCCCCCCCCCCAACTTCGAAAAACTCCCCCATGGCAAAACCCACAAGCCCCACTTTGGAGTAGGGCCTGGAAAAAATATTTTTCTAGCTATAATAGGAACCCAGAACCAACATTAAAGTAGGCCCTGGAAAAAACTATTAACCTTTTAGGTATAAGTAGCTATAATAGGAACCCAGAACCCAAAAAAAGAGTATTAAAGTATATTAACTTTTAGGTATAAGTAGCTATAATAGGAACCCAGAACCCAAAAAAGAGTTCTAAAGTATAGTACTCCCAAACCCAGCAAGTATAAGTAGCTTTAATAGGAACCCAAAACCAAAAAAGAGTACTAAAGTGTAGTACTCCCAAACCCTAAACCCTAAACCCTAAACCCTAAACCCTAAACCCTAAACCCTAAACCCTAAACCCTAAACCCTAAACCCTAAACCCTAAACCCTAAACCCTAAACCCTAAACCCTAAACCCTAAGCCCTAAGCCCTAAGCCCTAAGCCCAAACCCAGCAAGCCCGAGTCCTCTATGGAGCTGTTCCAAGCCCGGAGGGCCGGTGTCGGCATGGCAGGCTGCAGGAGTCGCAGGCGCTACGCCTAAACCCTAAACCCTAAACCCTAAACCCTAAACCCTAAACCCTAAACCCTAAACCCTAAACCCTAAACCCTAAACCCATGAGGCGAAATGTCAAGCTACATCCATGTGCCAAGGACGCGCCTCGTCTATTCAGCGATGCTTGGGAGGCCGCCTCAAACTTAAACCTTAAACCCCGAGATTCCGTCTTTAAGTCGGCCACAAGGCTGCAAACCCTAAACCCTAAACCCTAAACCGTTGTTTGCTTGACGGCTCATGAGTTCATAGAAACAAGGGGGGGGGGGGTCATGTGCACGCTGACTGTGGCTATCATGGTTGGTTGAATAGCCCATACAAACATTCGAGGGCTTAGGGGTGGCAAGGTCTCAAGGCCCAGCGGCTTTTTAAGCCAGGTAACCACATGCTGCCACCTGCAACTCTGCACACAAACATGTGGCAGACGTAAATGCATCTCTGCTCGGAAGACCTCTGTATATAGTAGTCAGTGTGGAAAAACATCGCCCCCTCTCCCCCCCCCCCCCCCGGCTCCCTAGCAACAAAAATGCTTTGCTTCAGGCATGAACTCAGAAGGAATCCCACTGGCGTCTTCGGCAAAGATCCGTCACAAACCACCAGCTAAAGCATTCGCGTACCCCCGCGCGCCCGCGCCTCAACAACTGGCTTGCTGCTGCCTCCATCAGGCCTCAGGATTTCGGCGCAAGAGCTTAAGGTTTGAGGTTTAGGTATTAGGGTTTAGGGGAACATGATACATGCATACACAGAGCCACGAGCATGCATCGATACATTTCTTTGCATTAAACGAGAAAAGCACATACACATGCACATCGTCCTCAGAAACGATGCCAGGCTATGCCAAGAACACCATGCAATCCATAAATGAAAAGCGCTCGATGCAATGCAGGGTAGGTACAGTGACACCAGTACCGTAGAAATCGTTGGATTCCTTTGTGCCTGCAGTCTTCCTCAACTTGGCTTCGAACATGGCAAGATGTCGTCAGCTTAAGAAATGCAGAGGCTCGATTTTTGGCTTCACGGCGGGACAGGCCATGACGCTAAGGCACGCGCCGCACTCCTCAAGATAAGAAGATAAGAAATTTGGACTGAGGCATCGAAACCCAAAGCCCCAAAACCCTCACGTTGGGGGGGGGGGGGCGCCTTGCTCCAAGATCGGGGTACTACCTACGGGAACTTGCCAAACGAGAAGATACCCTAAGAAAGACGCCCTGAACCCCAAAAAACCTGAGGCTTAAGCCCCAACCCCACAACCCACAACCCACAACCCACAACCCACAACCCACAACCCACAACCCACAACACTAAACACTAAACCCTAAACCCTAAACCCTAGCCCTGCCAGCAGCTCGCCTGGTGCCAGGCCGTGGACCTTCGCGCAGGATGTCGCCCTTGCCGGATTGTAGGGGTTGGTTGGGCTTCAGGGCTGTAGGATGGGTGAGGTTGAGGAATGTCGCTTTTCTGGCAACGCAGATTCTCAAATCTCCAGATATCTGGGCCTCGGGTTTCTCTGATAACAACCGTTTTTCGCTTCGAGTATGTCGCAAAGCGCAGCTGCGTGGACAGCGAGCACACCTGAAATCTCGAATCCGAATCCGCTGTCGTTCCAATGCACATATTGCCACAGAGTACGGCAAAGATTCGCTGACTGGCTGGACGACGAGCCTTCCGTCGCGGGGTCCGAGGCAACTATTTTAGGGATGTGGCCAGGAGAAGCTTTCTATCTTCCGGAGCCTTATGAACGAATAGGGTTTAGGGTTTAGGGTTTAGGGTTTAGGGTTTAGGGTTTAGGGTTTAGGGTTTAGGTTTAGGGTTTAGGGCATTTGCTAACATAGCTCTTTTTTCATTGCTGGCACGTGTGTCCGAACCACGTGCAGAAATTGAGAAACGTCATTGCAATACATGGTCCGGTTCATGTTGTGTACATCTTCTTGATTAGTTTTCAGATCACTTGCAATTTTGTAAGTTGCATGCTCTTTGTCAGCGTTTACAAGTATCTCTGTACTTGACTGACTTTTATCTAGGTTGAATCTTCGTGTTCATCCCTGTATACACCCCCCTATATTTAAGCAGATGGTGAGCAGTAGGATTTCTAGAGAAAATCTACAACTACCATTGGGTGTTTGCATAATCGAGCTAATCACAAAATGAAAGGCATTTGTTCATACGATCTTCTTATATACGCATGCATATGTAAAGAAGTATTTATATATACATATACATATACATATGTATATATATATATATACACGATTTCTCTCTTCATTCATTCTCCCGTAAAGACGCACGAAAGCCTCTATTCCCTAAACCCTGAACCCTAACCCTAAACCCCAAACCCTTAACCCTAAACCCCAATCCCTAAACAAGCGGCTCGCGGCGCCTTGCGCGGGAGTGCAGCTAGCTCCGTCTGCTCGGCGATGATGGCAGCAACATCCACAATCTCCTTGGGAAGTTGGCGGTTTAGGGTTTATATGATTTAGAGGGTTCGGAGGGTTTATAGGGTTAATAGGGTTTAGAGGATTTACAGGGTTAAGAGGTGTTAATAGGGTTTACATGATGTCGGAGTTTACGATAACAAGGGACCCCAAAATGTAGACCCCCAAATACTAGGATTCCCTCAGAATAGCTGGACCCCAATAAGGTACCCCCCCCCCCCCTAATTTCGGAAACCCCCCATATGATGTAGAGGGTTTAAAGAGCTCAGGGCTTATAGGGCTTATAGGGCTTATAGGGTTTATAGGGTTTATAGAGCTTATATTATATGGTTCAAGGGAACCCAGCATCAACCAGGGAACCCAACATCAAACAGCGTTGCTGGTTTCAAATCTCTTCGGGGCACCATCGTGGCGTAATTCTGAAGATTCGGGGGTTTAGGGTTTAGGGTTTAGGGTTTAGGGTTTAGGGTTTAGGGTTTAGGGTTTAGGGTTTAGGCCTGCTATGCAAGGCGTCGGCGTTCTTGCAAGGTTTGTGGATCCCAGAGAACCGAGATGCCTTCCAGCGAGCACCAAACCCCCCCCCCCCCCGGTTCTTAGTAGGGAATGAGGGCCCTATGTAATACCCTTTAAGGCATTGTATATATAATATATATATATATATGTAATACCCTTTAAGGCATTATGTATATATAAAATAAATAAATAAATATATATATATATATATATCTGGGGTATTTCATTCCCTGATTCCCTACAAGGAACTGCAGAACCAGCAACGCTTGGCACATGACATTCCGGGATTCCAAGACACCTTAAATGGTCATGCAGGCAAGACTTCTCAACACGGATGTCCATGCAAACAACCCGGCCCTAAACCCGAAACCCTAAACCCTCAACCCTCAACCCTAAACTCCCAACTGCTTGATTTCGGGATGGGGGCTTCCTCGCCTGGTTCATGAACTTTGGCGACTTCTTGTATCCCCCCTTTTGCGGCTGCTGTGCATAGGAACCTATGTAATTACAACTGCTGGGTAGCTCTTATCTTTCTTATCCTCTGAATTGCGAGTGGAAACTGTTAGTATTCTGTGAGATTGCCACTTGTCATGCTAGCCCAACACCCCAAACTCAAAACCCTAAACCCTAAACCCTTAAACCCTAAACCCCTAAACCCTTAACCCTAAACCCTAAACCCTAAACCATATTTACTTTTGCAAGGCCTCTTCGCAGAGCCTTTCGCCGATGCAGGAGGTTAGCAATCCCTACTACCCTGCAGGTTTAGGGTTTAAGGTTTATATAGGGTTTAGGGTTTAGGGTTTTTGGTTTAGCCCTTGAAATCCCTTAAACAAGGGTAAGGAACCATGTAAGAGACCATACAAAGGGCCCATGGTTAGGTAAACGGGGGCAGACTTATGGGTTCAGGGTTCGGGGCGGAGGGCTTGGCTGCGGGTTGATGGCTTCGGCGGTTTGGGGGTTTAGGGAAGACCGGGAAACCTTGACCCTAAACCCTAACCCCTTAACTGTTTAAACTAGGTACTCCCTAAACCCTCAACAAACCGAAAACCCCAAACCGCAGCTCGAACCCGAAACCCCAACGTCTGGAGTCGGGAACCCTGATTGCACACCGTCCAAAGTCAAGCCCGTGAGGCACCGAAGAGTTGAGGCTTTAGGGAGCGACGCCCTACCTAAAGGCTCCTATGTAGTACCTTTTTGGGGTACGGCCCAGGAGTGTTTTATTAATTAAGAAATCTGGACCTGGACCGGCCACACATTTTAAAATCCAGGGCCTCGCGGGCTCGCCCCAAAAAAATCCGCCGAGGAAGTTTTAAGTAACGTTCTCTGTCGTATTTACCAAGAACCCAAGAAGCTGCAAGCCTCAAACCCTCTAATCCCTTAAGCCCCGTAGTCTCAACCTAAAGCCTCGAAAGAAGGCCATGGAGTCAATAGCGCAATGGATAAGCCGTGCACCTCTAAACCGAAAGACGTCGGTTCGAATCCTGCTCGTGACGGGAGTGCTTCCGACGCCCCTCCCCCCCTCTTCTGGCCCCCCTCCTCTACCGCACCCCCCTCCCGGCCTGACTTGTTAAGTTGTGGGGAAACCCTAAGCCCCAAACCCGGAAAGGCCCAAAAAAGGTGACTTGTGCCGGGCTCTTGCGGGGAAGAGGCCCGGCACAAAAAGTCACCTTTTTTGAGGTGCTTGGGGCCGGAAAGGCCCAAAAAAGGTGACTTTTTGTGCCGGGCTCTTGTGGGGAAGAGGCCCGGCACAAAAAGTCACCTTTTTTGAGGTGTTTCAGGCCGGAAAGGCCCAAAAAAGGTGACTTTTTGTGCCGGGCTCTTGCGGGGAAGAGGTCCGGCACAAAAAGTCGCCTTTTTTGAGGTGTTTGAGGCCGGAAGGTGACTTATTGTGCCGGGCTCATGCGGGGAAGAGGCCCGGCACAAAAAGTCACCTTTTTTGAGGTGCTTGGGGCCGGAAAGGCCCAAAAAAGGTGACTTTTTGTGCCGGGGGCTCTTGCGGGGATGCCGGGCTC